CATCCCCTGAGATATGCAGGGGTTAAACTGCCAGATTTGGGAACTTGACAAGACATGCATCCTTCCCTCCCTTCCCAAGTTCCAAAGTTCAGTCTCATTTCTGGTTTCCTTTCCTGAAGTTTAAAGGTCAAAACAATACCCTGGCTTAATTTTCTCCCCCTACCAAACTCCCCCATTTAGAAAAAAAATTTCTTCCCACTGTACTTTTTGGCTAAGATGCACATTTTGTGTTAACAGGAAACTTTTTCAAGGAGACAAATCAGACATGGATAGCTGACTATTTTGAAAACAAAACAAAAAGCCACATTCTTGTTCTGAAAACCTTTTCAGTTCCTAAATGATGGGGGCCTTAAATCTCCCTAGAATCTGGTGCCGCCACACCCCAAGGACCAGAAGAGGCTATAAGGGTTTATCAACAGTTCACCTTCTCACATGTGGGAAAATCAGCCCATGTGGATATTTTGCAGCTAAGGTGCTTTAATTAAAGAGGTGGTATTTAAGGAATAAGCACAGGATATTCTTAAAAGACTGCAATAATGGGATGGGTGCTCTATAACAAAACTGTATGAAACAAGAATGAGGCGATCTAAAGGAACAGAGGAAGACCTATTTTGATAGTTTTCTTGTTAGTTGCAGTAGGTTGGCCAATTCATGGCAACCTATTGAAATGTTCCTAGAGTGCAACTTTTGCAGGGAATAGGGATGGTGTGGGAAGCAGAAATTCTGTTGCTTCGGGACTGGAGGATCTGGATGGCAAAGCACTGAGTCCCTGGAGCACACTGGCACTAACCACCATTAGGTGGAGGTGAACCACCTGCTCTACCTTGAGCTAATTGCCAGCCCTCACTTCTGGAGTCAGATGAAGACACTGACACACCCAGTCAAAGTGGAACGTGGAGGATGCTGGAGAATTTGGCACTCAGAACTCTGCTCCAAGCCCTTCCACACTGATCAGGAGTCAAGGTCTGGACTGAGGCCTCCTTACAATGTCTTGCCTGGGGCTGCAATAATCGTTGCATAGAAGGACACTTCTAAGACCACTTGTAAGACACTTCTAAGACACTTACCTGTAGATGACCTCTGGAAAGCCCAATTACTGGACTGAGGTAAAATCCTGACACTTGGCCTGAAATTCACTTATCAACCAGACTGATTAAAAATCAGGTAAGAGTTAGCTATATAAACTGAAGGACAGTGTCCTTCAATAAGTACTACTTAGTTACCTAGTGCTGCTATAAGAGAAATACCACAAGTATATGGCTTTTAACAAAAAATTTATTTTCTCACAGTTTAGGAGGCTGGAAGTCCAAATTCAGGGTGCCAGCTATAGGGAAAGGCTTTTTCTCTATTGGCCTGGGGGAAGAACCCTGTCTCCTTTCAAACTCTGTGAGCCAGTCATTCCTTGGAGCTCTTCATGTGTCTTGGCATCAATCTTCCCCTGGATCTAGGAGGTTCTCAGTGCTGGGACTTGGGGTACAAAGGATGTGCTCCACTCCTGGTCCTTTCTTGGTGGTAGTCTGGTCCCTCTGATCTTTGCATGCTTGTTAAATTTCTTTTATATTTTGAAAGAGAGTGACTCAAAATACAATCTAATCCATAGATTATATCCTGCTTCATTAACATAACTGCCTCTAACCCTGCCTCATTAACATCACAGAGGTTAGGATTTACAACCCCAACCACACCAAATGCACTGCCGGTGAGTCAGGTGAGTCAGATCCCACTCACAGAGACCCCTCCTTGGGTTTCTGAGGCAGTATCTCTATGGAACTAGATTGCCCAACCTTCTTTCCAAGGAGTGGCTGGTGGGTTTGAACCGCCAGTCTTCTGGTTAGCAGTCAAATGCTTTAGGCACTACACCACCAGAGCTCACAGGATTTACAACACATAGGATAATTACATATGATCACAAAATGGAGGATAATTACATAACACTAAGAATCATGGCTTAGTCAACATGACAACTTTTTTTTTTTTTTTTTAAATGTTGACATGTAGCAGCTACCCTATTTAAAGGCTGGGTAGGTCGGTCAGAAGGAGGGCAGTCCTTAATCGGTAATATTGGGGCTTCTGTGCGACTGCTCAAATGTGCATCTCTCTGGCAAACAATTTATCCCAGTCTAAATCACTATGCTGGCAATCTCATTTTACTGGACAAAATGACATCTTCATAGTTTTTATAGTGTTTTGCTGGAATTCAGTAATTACAAGTTCACTTGCTGGTACCAGACTACCACTTGGCAAAATCCTTAAAACTAACTTCCTCTTGGTCTTACATGTTTCAGTCATAGCAAACCTTCTCTCTACATTCTCAATAAGATAGTATTGCTAAATTATCCTTGCTTTAATAAGTCCTTTTAAGCTGTATAATCTCTCTTCCCACTAAGCCTCACCTCTCCAACATCTGGTTTACATTTCTGTCAGTGCACTCATTGCCAGGATTTCTGTCTCATCTGACCACATTATACCCAGCTTCTTTAGAGCAGAACTTGCCACATTAATCTTTATACCTCCAGGGTACATGGTAGGCTCTTAAACATTTGTTGAATGAATTTAGCAGAATCCAGATTCTGTTTCTTACCTGTAAATTTCTGGAAAATATTCAACTGAACCATATAAACAAGGTAAAAAGTCCCATTCAAGATCTAACAGCGGGAGATTGATAAGACCAAAACTTAAATCTAGATCCTCTTTCGCTTACTTTTTAAATAAACATGAAAAATGTATAATTTATTAAAAAAATAAATCATACTAGTTCACGAAATGAAAAGTACAATAACTACATTTGAAAACAGTTAGAAAATGCTATGATCCCATGAACCAAAAGGGAAACTACGTAAGACTAGCAAAACATGGAAAAAGCTTTCCAACCTTACTAGACATGCAACTATCATTATTTGCAAATTAGTGAAGTTGTAACCAAATGGCAATTCATAAATGATGGTATAAAGTAAAAGGGCATTCTGCAATCTCATACAATCAAGTATTTCAGTGGGGTGGAGGGTGGGTATCAGTGCGGCTATACGGACATTGGTGTTAGATGCCATCAAGTCAGCTATGACTCATGGACTTTATGTACAACAAAACGAAACACTGCACGGTGCTGTACCACCTTCATGATTGTTGTTAAGTTTTAGTCCAGACTATATGGATAAAGAGCCTTAAAAATAATTATACCCAAGTCAGGCATATTATAAAATGTAAAATAAAAATATCTTTATACTTTTCTACAGACTTCTAAAAATGTATTCTAAGAAATCAAAATGTAGATAAGAATTTATGCAATATAGCTCAGAAGTTAAGAATATGGCTCTACCACTTACTAGCTATGTGACCGTCAACAAATGATTAATTGTCTGGGCTCAGTTTCCTCATCAATAAACTGGTGACCTAAAAAGAAAGAAACAGTACCTAACTTACAGGGTTGGTATAAAGATTAAATGAGAATCTATACATTAGAGTTTAGAACAGCCTGGCATACAGAGTTCAATAAATGTTAAATGCGGTAATTCAACAGGCCAGAAACTCAGGAACAGTCTAATGTTTAGTAATAGAAAAATGGTTAAAAAGATTATGGTAAATCCAAACAATGGCATATCATGAAGAGTTTTAATGATGGAGAAATGCTTATAATATATTAAGCAAAGAAGTATGATATAAAATTGAATATACAGTATGATTTAATTATGTAAAATATACATCAATATGCAGAAAAATATCTAGCAGGAAAACAAACTAAAATATTAAAAGTAGTTATTTTGGTGGTAGTAGAATTTGAACAGTTTGCTGTTATTTTCTTCTTCGTACTTTTCCATTATAAATCTTTTTCTACAATGAAGGTATTACTTTTCAAATCTGAAAAATGCCAGGATTTAAAAAGGTTAAAATAAGGTACCAAATGGGTAATTTAAGATCTTATAGAAATGTCCAACTCTTCACATGTAAATGATGCACCACAGGAATTAGAATAGCTTTCTGGAACTCCATTATTTTCCACTGAATTTACAAATGAAGAGCGTTGTATAAATGCAAAATAAATATTACAGCAACATAAAAATAGTAGAATTCTGGATTGAATTTGTTTATAAATGAGTGCCAAGTTTAGCACAAACAAAGCACTCTCTGACTTGACCTAGGCCAGTCTCCACCTACCCCTAAGAGGGATTCCAGCATCCAGGTGGCTCTGATCCAGAATTCCTTTCCAACCCTAGACAGCCAGCTGGCCTGCGGGCAGCTCCTAGAGCTTCACTCCACGCTCCAGTAGCTTCTACCCTTTCTATGCACCAACCTACGAAGTTCCCATCCCTTTTTCAACTTCAAAGGGAAGAACTCCAGCCGTCTAGTTGCAAGGAAAAAGATAAGGTTGTCCCTTCAGTCTGACTATGCTTTCTAGAATGCTTTTCAGATCTTTATGTATTTTGCCTTTTCTAAATAGTTTCAGACCCTGTGTCCCCAACTCTTTGCCTTTCAGGTATCTTATAGCTAGTCCAAATCACAATGCTCCTTTCAGTCAAGTCAGTTTTTGCCCTTATAGTACTCAGTCTATTCTTTAATAAATGTCATGCAAAACCTTACTCATTTTTAACTGTACTAAACAGAAAAATAAAGTTGATCTAAAAAAAAAAAAAACATGGTGCCTCCTGGGCCCTCGTGAGATCGTGAGGGGCGGGTGCATGCATGCATGCATACGTTCATAGGTCCGTTCATATTTACAGAGCATTTTTTTGGACTAAATCTCAAACTTCTTGCTTATCAATCAGCATTTTCACCTAAACAGCACTCAGTTAGACAGCGTATAGAGTCCCTGGGTGGTGAAACAGTTAATGAGCTCAGCTGCTAACCAAAAGGTTGGAGGTTCGAGTCCACCCGACACCTCAGAAGGCCTGGCCATATACATCTGAAAATCCAACCACTGAAAGCCCTGCGGAGCACAGTTTTCCTCTGACATCTGGGGTTGCCATGAGTCAAAGTCAACTCAATGGCAATGGGGTTTTGACAGGATATCTTTCAGCCATAATGCTGAAAAACCATTCTAGCTAGTCTGTTACATTGTTCACCTGAATATCCATCCACATAGCATTATCCAGATTATTTGACTGAATTCTTCAAAGAAGTGCTTGAAGCAGAAATTCCCCAAATATTAACACACTTTGTTGCTCTATATGACTTAATCCTTACAATAAGAGCTACCCTTATAGACTACCTACCAGTTTTATGAGCCCCAAAATTTACAAATTAATGCAACACAATCTAAATGCACCATAAATTTGTATTTGTTAATCTTGATGTTAGAATATTTAAACATTTCAAACTACATAAAAATATGACAAACAATATAAAATAGAAAGAAATTTGTTGACAACTTATTTCCAAAACATTGTTGTTTCTTATATTGCAATTAAGCAACAAGATGGTTTTACATGGCTCTCCAGGAAACACAGTGTTTTAGGGGAGTGTTATCAACAAAAATCAGCACAATCCCACACAATAACATCTCCAATTTATTATCTTTTCCACAGTACAAACTGTCCACAAACCATAAATCCTTTGCAGTATTCAAAGTCTGTAAACAAGTGCCTGAATCCCCACTACCCTCCCCACCTCAGTTTGAGCTTGTGAATGTTTTAAGTCCTTCAATCAAGTTTCCACATTTTCACTTGCATAAGGAATCAAGAGTCTTCTCTCTTTAAATTATTTACATTTTATCATACAGCCTGCAATGCAGTAAATCACAGTGAAAGCCCTGGGAAAAACAAAAGAACATGAACTTTACAGCAGGACTTGAAACTTTATAATATTAAATGCATTTAAAGAAGCTTCCCATAATAAAAGCGTGGGTTTTCATTTCCAGAAATCAAGTCAGTTAGAAACTCTAGGTTCTACTTAAAAACCCATTTTGATCTAAAAGAAAACAGTCCCAAATCCATAGTTTTATAAACTCTATACAGTTTCACTTGCAGAGATTTTTTTTCCCCCAGTCTGGAAAACAGTAGTGCAATTAGTTTTACTTCTTTTCAGTTATTTAGTCCAGGATGTAAATAGCTCTGTGGAAAGATAAGAAGATGCTCTGGTAAACAAGAAATTTTTGCAAGCCCATGCTGGCTTACTAGTCCATTAAAGCTTGTAAGTCCATAGTGGCTTTCAACAAAATGTTGTATGTACATCACCAGTAACAAAGCAGAAATAAATATGCAGAAATGACTGTAAACTGTCTCATCTCTTAAATGATTTTTTTTTCAGTAATAACGGGCTTGGCAAATTGATTATCTAGTTGTTTAAATAAGCAGACAGTAGACAGTTGCCCATAAGGACATTCCACTATAGCATCCAGTCTGGAAAGCCCCAATGGAGTTACATTCCTAAAATTAAAACAAAAACAAAAAAAGGGGAGTGGAGGGTGGGAAATAAAAGTTTAAAGATGCCACTTGAACAGAATTCCATCAAGTCAGCCAGTTCACTTTGACTTTTTCTTAAAAAGGCTTTTAATCTTAGATGGCTTTTTGCTTTTCTCTCCATTGTGACAAAGGTCATGCGGGATGCTGCTTATCCGGGCAACGCTCGGAGCTTCCTGAACCGGCTTGCTGTCGTTGCCAGCTGAGGAACATGACGTGTGCCGAGGTTTAGACACCAAGATGCCACTAGAAAGCTGGTTCATGCTACAGGATTTCTCCAAGATGCCATTGTACACTTTGCTGGCAGGACTGAAGATCATACTCTTGGTTTCTGTGAGGCCCACACAATCAGGAGAGCCCCGGGAGAGGTCTGCAGTTACGGGTGACTCGCCTCTGGATGAACCCTCAAGGGAGAGCTCATCTCTGGATGTCTTTCGAGGAGACAATGTTTGGTATATCTCAAGGCTTGAAGGAGGAGACTGTTTCCTTCCAATGGAAGAATTTAAGGAGTCACACTCTGAAGCTGTGTCCGGCACTTCCCTGAATGAGACAGGGAGGCAAAAGGCAAACATTTGAAATCATCATGCTCCTCAGCCAGTCTAATTCTAATTGAAACAATGTTCATTATATAATATATTGGAATTTACAAGGAAAATGGCTAAAATGCTGTATTACTGCAACAAAATTAGAAAATTATAACTTTAATAAGATGACAAGCTGTAATAATGAAATCTCACAATCTAAGAAGTATTATAACTTAAATTACACCTTTAATTACCAGAGCAATGAAAACATCTTATAGATTCTTTTCTTATAATCTCAGTTACTGTTATGTTTTGATGTCAGTATTATTTTCCTTTTTAAATCATAGCGTTGATGCTATATATTTGAAAAACAATTTTAGTTACTGTCCTCTTTATTTTTCAGCCATTAATCTGATGAAATACAGCTTCCTAAAGGAAGACTAAGGTGCACCTGACCCAAGTCATGGTGCTTTCAATCATCTTATATGAAAGCTGGACAATGAATAAATAAGGAAGACTGAAAAAGAACTGATGCATTTGAATTATGGTGTTAGTGAAGAATAATGAATATACCACAGACCACCAGGAGAATGAACCAATCTGCCTGGAAGAAGTACACCCGAAATGATCCTTGGAAGAGAAAATGGCCAGACTTCACCTCACCTACTTTGGTCATGTTGTCAGAAGGGACCGTTTCCTAGAGAAGGATGTCATGCTGGGTAAAGTGGAGGGTTAATGAAAAAGGGGAAGATCCTCAATGAGATGGATTGACACAGTAGCTGCAACTGGCTCAAGCCTAGCAACAACCGTGAGGATGGTGCAGGACTGGGCATCGTTTCATTCTGCTGTACACAGGGTCACTATGTACAGGAGCTGACGTGACAGCACTTAAGAACAACTAAGGCCTCTGTCTTTGGTTCCTGAGAAGTAACCCTTGCAAGCTTGGAATTTAAGTATTTTCAACAGAGATGGAGCTCTAGTGGTATAATGGTTAAAGCAATACGCTGTTAACCAAAAGGTCAAAGGTGTGAAGCCACCAGCCACTCCATGGGAGAAATATCAGGCAGTCTGCTTCCTTAAATATTTAAAGGTTTGAAAATCTTATGGGTCAGTTCTACTCTGCCCTAGAGGGTCACTATGACTCAATGGCAGTGGAGTTCTTTTGTTCAATAGGGGCATCTAACCTAACAGGTTAGGTGAGGTGGTAAAATGATCAGAGTGTAGGCTGGCCAAGCCAGAAAGACCCACCATGTAACACCTCATGATCACCTCATGATATTATCTGACCTCAGGGAAGAGGGGCTAGAGTGTGCACTTCCTAATGAGAACCCAATAGGGCTCTGAACACAGAAGCTCCACGGGCTCCCTGGCACGCAGGTGAGAGAAAGGTGTGTCCCTTTTGGGACACGGAAGCTCCGCACTGGGAACCCTCCCATACCTCACTCACTCTATGCGTCTCTTCGTTTGTATCCTTTTTCCAATATAGTGATAATTATAAGTCCAGCATTTTCTATGAGCTGTGTAAGCTGTTCCAGTAAATTATTAAACCCAAAGGAGTGTGGGAGCCCAGAGGGGACCTTCAAGCTTGTGGCTGGTGTGTGTCTTTTTGGGAGTCTGAGCAATGATGCCCTTTTTAACTTATGAGATCAGACCAGCTTCAGTGCCTTGAGTGAGACAGGGTAGTGCTACACAGGCAGGTAGTCATGGCGTAGCGCTGGGTGACTATGGTCAGAGAAATCAGTGGTGCACGTTTCAGCGGCTGTCAGAGAAGTGAAAACGCGGGCATTTGGACTGATAGCGATTTTTATTTGGGTAAGGGAGTGGTTGGGGAGGGAGTGAAAGACTCGATATAATGCCACTTTTTTTAAAGGAGGCTTTCAACAAATGCTCACAGATTTATTCCTTTGTGAATTTTGTTCCCCCTTTCCATTCTCCACAGTAGAAATGGAAATAAAGAGGGGTAGAAAAATAAAGCTGATAACCCCATAGCCAGATACAGCAAATGCTACCAGCCATTCCTTTAAAATACTCCCAAATCCACCACGTCTTATTACTCCCGCTACTTCCACTCTCTTCCAGAAGCACCGGAAATCACCTCAACAACTGGAACAGCTTCCTAGTTGGGCTCCCTGCTTCTGTTCTTATTCCTCCCTCTCACGTCACTTCTCTATACAGTCCTTGAAGTGATTTTAAAAACTCAGTCAGAGCGCAGCTTTCCATTGCTCAGAGCCCTTCAGCATTTCCTTTCATACTCAAGGTAAAATCCAAACTCTGGTCAAAACTTGCAAGGCCCTGTACAGTCTGGCCCCTGGCTACCTCTCCAACCACACGTCGTACATTCTCTGCCTAACTCCACCATGGCCTCAGTTCCTCCAAAGTGCCAATCTTGTGACTCCCTCTGGCCATTCGTACTTGCTGCTCCTCCTGCCTGCTGTCCCCCCCATCTCTACCTGGCTTACCTCTCCACATCACTCAGATCACTGTTCAACTGCTCTCCCTCCAGAGACGCCTCCACTGACCACTCTCTCTAAAACAGCATTCTCTTGCCTTTACCTGGACCTACTTACCTTCCTAGAATTTGCCACTACTTAACATGACATTTTTCATTAACTTGCTTGTAGTCAGTTTCTCAGAAGACAGGGAACTTAATGAGGACAAGGAGTCTTATTACCGTCTGTATTTTCTGCACTAGAATAGTGGCAAGCTCACAGCATGTGTTTAGCAAGTATGTGCTTGATGAATGAACTGAATGCAAGGAAGAACAGGGATCATGTCTTACTCACTTTTGTGTGCACAGAGCCTGCCATGAAAACTGTTCACTTTATGAAGGCAATGATTAAGAAATGAAAGGTGGGATCAAGGCAAAATGTAACTGGCAAAAGAATAAGACGGGAGAAGGAGCAGAGTTAAAGACAGAGTAGAAAGACAAGAACATATATGTTTATAACTGACTAGCCAGAACGAGGCTAAGACCTTGTCTCACTTGTCTTGGTAGTTCAAGCTATTAGCAAAGGCACAGCACACAGCAAGGAGGGAATCAGTACTTATTGAATGAATGAACCAGAAGACCTCTTACCTTGGATGGCCCACGAAGACTATCACTATTTATGTTATTGGCTGGCAGGTTAACCAGAGATATAGCACTTACCTTCCACATGCGTTTTATGTTAATACCATATGTTACACATGAATTGGATTAGTGAATTTATTTAGTTATTTCTGTGTACTTCACTCACACATGTATATGAAGATCATCTTTACTACACTACAAGCTCCTAAAAGGTACAAAGCAAGTAAGACTTAAATAATGGCTTCATGTCATACAGTTACATTGACAACATAATTTTCAAATGCTTTTACAATCTGATAATGGGTAATGCCAACAGAGGGCAAGAATCACATCTGAAGAAATGATCAGCCTCAGAAATCAATCACTGGTAGACTTGACTACTAGGCTTGCTTGTAAACCAAATGGACATTAGCTTATAGCATACAGCTCAGGGACCTGACGGTGGTCAGCTTCCAGAGTCAGAAGCTGAGTTAGTTACACTTTTATGAATTTACTTTCTGTTCTGTGTGGCCTGGCTGCATTGTGTGAGAAATTCTAAGCTAGTTTAAAAATATTTCAAAAACTAGTCTCTAAAATCTAAATAATGTGTGAAAACAACACTGATCTCAATCAGACGGCTTAGATTACCATCCTGGTCCTGCCATTAATCAACTGTGCTATCTGAGGCCAATCTCTTAATTCTTTTAGGTCTTAATTTCTCTGGTTAAAAAAATAAGAGAATTTGATTAATCTTTAAATAGTTTTAACATTCTAATTTCAAAACAAATAATCACCTGCAGTGCTGCTTCTTCCTCGTAACTGATCAGATTTGGAGCAGAGACATAGCTCACCTTAAAATGCCCCTTTCTCTCTAGGGTACATGTTACTAGGAAAGCGGAGCTTAATCATCCATGTTGTTGTTGTTGTTGTTGTTTGCCGTCGAGTCGGCCCCGACTCATAGCAACCCCTCCTTGGGTTTCCGAGGCAGTATCACTACAGAAGTAGGATTGCCCAACCTTCCTTCCGAGGAGTGGCTGGTGGGTTTGAACTGCCATCCTTCTGGTGAGCAGTCAAGTGCCTTAGGCACTATGCTACCAGAGCTCCTTAATCATCCATACTATTCATATTCTTTTTCTCCCCCACAGTGATGCAGAATTGAAATTATCTAAGTAAATGCATGTACAGCAAGACTTTACCTGAAAATGAAATTTAAATAAGTGCACATGTGTATGTATAATGAATAAAACACACACACACACACACACACACACAAAAATCACTAAATATTAATTGCTGCTATTATTATTATTTTGTAAATATTCACAATACATGAGAGACTGAAGAGGGAGAGGAAGGAAGAAACGTTTTCTGAATTCAAATTCTCCTGTGAATTTTTGGCATTGCTATTTGAAATGAGGACTCAATATTTCCATCAATTCAGAAAGTTCTACTGGAAAGCACAGCTCTCGAACTTTCCTAATTTCCAGAAGTCACTGAAAATAATCTTACTATTAAAGCTGTCTTGCTGGTGACTAGTCATACTGCAAAGGCACACAGAACACTAATTATAAAGTCCAAACGAAGGGAAGCTGCACCACGTTCTGCAACCACAATGAGGACAGAAAGTCTGGGTTCTCTCTGCAGGACTGCGATTTAATGACTACTTGCTAATAATAAAATTTACTTTCACTGAGAGATGAAACAGCTGAGCATGAAAAATAATTCTTTGATGGTAATGTCGACTAGACTCATGTGATATGAGCCACAAAGGACCATGAGAGCATCATCAGCCTGTTCCCCCGTTTCTCCTAGAAAGACAGTAACACTTTGGGGTCACACCTCTAAGAAGTGGCACAGTTAGAAACACATGCCAGTTTTTCTGGCACTCAATCCATGTTGCTTCAAAAGGAATAGTGTGATTTAGAAAGAGAGCGCCTCAAGGGCAGCAGATATGAAATGACATCCCATGGAGCACTAGTGTCACTAAGCTGGATGGGAACACACTGCTGCTGCTATATCCATTCAGTAGAAAAAAATAAGTTATAAATTTCATCTCCTCCTTTAAGTCCTTCACATTTTCTTAAACTTTTGACATCTCATATTGATGATTTGCTAGTAAATATTGGCACAGTAACAGAATAAATTAATAAATAGCAACAATTATTAAAAAAAAACCTCAGTCACATTTGATGTTGCTCTGTCCTCAAGTACATGAGTAAGCCTGTGCCTTTATATTTTACACATAAAACTGTTCATGTGACAAGTTTATGTTCTCATACCTGAGCCAACTGTATCATATCTACACAATCATATCTCAAAATATTTTTGTACATGTCTGTGGTAGCAGAATTCTAAGATGGTCCCCAAATTCCCAGCCCCTGATGTACATACAACTTCTTCCAGTTATTCAATCAAACACTAATATAGATGATACTGTGAGGGGATTCTGCAGAAGTAATTAAAGTGCCAAACCAGCTGATCTAAATACAGGGACATAATCTGGGCAAGCCTGAACTCCTAAGCCCTTTAAACATATAGGTCTAGAAGTCAGAGAGAGAGGAAGTCAGAGATTCAAAGGCAAGAAGGAATTTGACAGGAAGGAAATTCTCTGTAGCTGGCTTTGAAGATGGAGAAGGTCACGTGGCATGGAATGTGGGCAACCTTGAGGAGCTCTAGGAGCCCCCATGTGAGAGCAAGCAAGGAAATGGGTACCTCAGTCCTATATCCACAAGGAATTGAATTCTTAAATAACATGAGATTTTATGCTGACCTCCTACATAAGATGATAACACAGCCTAGCTAACACCCTGATTTTAGCCTTGTAAGATCCTGTATAGAGAACCCAGACAGATCAAGCCTGGACTTCAGATCTACAGGACTAAGAACTAATATATGGATGTTATTTGAAGCTACTCAATAGTAGTAACTTATTACTCAGCAACAGAAAACTAAAACAACGTACCACTCCTACCCACTCCTCACCCTAACCCAATCCCCCATATACTGTAGTTTATTCATTGCCGATACCATTGCTTTTCAGCAGAGAAGTAAATGGCCTCCTCTTCCTCTTCATTTCGATACAGAGCAGGGCAACTGGAAACTGAGAGGATATCAGGATCAGGGGACGGCAAGGAGTGCTGTGTGTGCTGCGGATGGTGAGAGTGCCGGGGGTGTGACTGAGCATGTGGGGGAAGCTGGGCACGCTGAGACTGTGGCGAGGACGGCACGATGCTGCGACGAGAGCGACATAAACTACTGCTTCTGGCTAACGACCCAGCAGGCTTAGCCATGGTCCCTGAAAACCAAACAAAGATGATTAAAAACACTCAGAAGGCTCAATGCTCTTTTCATGTACAACACAGATAACTACAAAAAAGAACAGCTGTCACTGCTATGTCACCATTCAATACACCTTTACGAATGAAATAACTACAATTATTACCATCCTCTACCACACATACTAGGGGGTAGAGGATGCTAATAACTGTAGTTATTTATTTACTAACACCTACACTGGGAGCTCTGGTAGCAGTACCTAAGGTACTTGACTGCTAACCAGAAGGCTGGCGGTTCAAACCCGGCAGCCACTCTTCAGAAGGAAGGTTGGGCAATCTACTTCCATAGTGATACCACCTCAGAAACCCAAGGAGGGATCGCTATGAGTCGGGTCTGACTTGATGGCACATAACAAAAACCACCACCACCACCACCTCAACTAGGAGCTCTGGTGGCATAGTGCCTAAGGCATGTGACTGCTAACAGAAGGCTGGCAGTTCAAACCCATCACCCACTCCTCAGAAGAAAGATTGGGCAATCTACTATGCATAGTGATACCACCTCGGAAACCCAAGGAGGGGTCACTATGACTCAGATTCGACTTCAACTGCAGTGAGTGAGTTACCACCTATATAATGTATCTCAGGAAAGCTAGGAACTAAGAAATAAAAAAGTAACAAACATGAAAACAGTTCTAAAAATAAATAGAAGTGGACATAGATACATGATGTTTCAAAATAAAATCTAACCTTGCTAACCAGAAAGGCTTAAAAATTCACCCAAAATAACCATTCCTTAAATATAAAGATCAATACAGCATTAACTACAAAGAGTCTGTATTTTGTTGTAAACCTTTTTATGAATTTTAACATTGAAAGAAAAACACTATCAGAACAAAGTAGGATTCTTAACCACAGGTATCTTTTTTTTTATTGTGATTTGGGTGAAAATTTACAAAGCAAATACACTTTCCATACAGCAGATCACATACACTTTGTCTCATGACATTGACCACAATTTAGCACAATGCAACATCTCCTCTCCCACTTCCTCCCAAAAGGTACCGCTTCCCTGTGTCTATCCCTCCATGCACTCCTACCCCCTGAGCTATCTCCCTGTGCCTGAGCAGCCCTTCTTTCTCTCTTGCTTGTTCTCTCCAAGGACTGTATCTACCTCCGGTAAATGCTCAACTAGTATGCCTGTCTACTGCTCGGCTGGAAGCTACAGGTGTGTGCTCAATTCCAGACCTGAAGGGCAGCTAGGGGCCATAGTCTCAGTGGTTCCACCAGGCTCCATCGGGCCAGTAAACCTGTTCCCCGTTTTTTTTTTTTTTTTTTTTCCAAATGATTCTGAGTTTTGTTCCACATTGTTCCCCTTGTCTATCCAGGATCTCCTACAAAGATCCTCTTCCAAATGGTTGATAGTAGTAGCCAAGCACCGTCTATTTCTTCTGGTCTCATAGTCGTATAGGCTGCAGAATGGATGGTGTACCAGTCGCTGGGACTGATTGTTTCCATGAATTTTTGGTTTTCTTCATTTTTCTTGGCCCTGGACGAGGAGAGAACCATCGCTGTATCTAGATGGCAGCTTGCAAGCTTTTCAGATCTCAGTTGCTACTCGCCACAGTAGCAGGTGGAACCACGATTTGTGTAGTATGTTATGCCAATTGAGCTTGATGTCCTCTGGGACTATGGTGCCGAGCCCACAGGTTCAACTACTCGGTCTCTCTGGGTAGCTGGCAACCACAGGTATCTTTTAAGATAGAGCAACTCATATAAACTTCAAGAATTTAATAATCAAAGAAATCATTTGAAAACACTGTATGTACAATCTCACAGTGAGTTAGCTGAACAGAACTGAGTCCAGTACTTGTTCTTTGAACAATGATCATTGTAAAACTAACCAGAAATCTTAGAGAGTCTTGCTTCTGTTCCTAGTTTCAGTCTAGGCCTATATCGGTGGCAAACAAACTTCCCCTACATTTTTAATGTCTTCCTTGGATGGGCATTTCATTCCTTTGCCTTAATAGAAACACAGCTCTCCTAAGTACAACCTTCTCAAAAATGAAGCTGCTCCTTCTTGCATGTCACATACTGCAGCATCAGGACAAAGGTTGATGGCCTCTTCATTCCCTAATGTTGTCTGCAAACCCATAGTCCTATATCCTCTTATTAACAAGACTTTTTTTAAAGGTCATATTATCAAACTACATGAAGCTTTCACCTCACTTCAGTGGTCATTCCCCAGGCATTCTCACTGTTATGTCCATCTAACATAAATCAAGAGAAGCAATATCATTTGTGAGACCTATCCAACACCTTAAGCAACCTTCCCCTCTACTTCCATTTCTTCTCTACTCCACACAAACTTCCTGTTTTGTCTTGCCATCACTCAGAACTGCTCCATCACTGAAATTACATATCCAGACATCGGACACTGAGATTCTGACTACATTTTTTTCTTTCCAGTTCATATATTCAGTCCCTTCCACCTGTCTCATTCTCTACCTGTAGTAGTTCAAGTGTCTCACTCTATCGACTTGGTTCCACAATCAACAACAAAGGAAGCAGCAGTCGATACATCAAAAGACATATTGCACTGGCAAAATCTTCTGCAAAAGACATCTTTCAAGTGCTGAAGAGCAAAGAAGTCTCTTTGAAGACTAAGGTGAGCCTAACCCAAGCCACAGTATTTTCTGTTGCCTCCTATGTATGTGAGAGCTGTACAATGAAAAAGGAAGACCGAAGAAGAGCTGATAGCTTTTGAGTTGTGGTACTGATGAAGAATGCTGAAGGTACTATGGACTGCCAAAAGAACTAACAAATCTTTCCTGGAAGAAGTCCAGCCAGAATGCTCTTTGGAAGCGAGAATGGCCAGACTTCATCTAACCTACTTTGGTCATGTTGTCAGAAGGGACCATTCCTTGGAGAAGGACATCATGCTTGGTAAAGTGGAGGGTCAACAAATAAGAGGGAAAGGCCCTCAAAAAGATGGACTAACACAGTGGGTGCTAACTAGTGGACTAGCAACGGTGGGCTCAGGTATAGCAAGGACTGTGGGGCTGGCACGACTGGTTGTACACAGGGTCGCTATGGTTCGGAGCTGACTCTGTGGCACCTAACAAAAACAACTCTATTGATTATTCCTTCCCTTGCCTTTATTTTCATCTTTTCTCCATTAGTGCTATTTCCCATGAGAATTTTTTTTTTAAATGCTGAAAAACAAATCCCAAAAGCAAACAAACCGCAATACCAACAACAACAACAAAAATCTCCTCTATCCCAGAGTGTGGTTTAGTTCTTTATCTCTATTTTCTTTTATGGCTCCACCTGTGAAAAATTACCTAATGTTACTTTCTCCACTGCTTCATTTTCCCCTCATTCCCCCAAGAAACTGTAAAGTGCTTATAAACTCACCACTTCACTGAAACTATTCTCACAAAGGTCATGATGAACAAGTCCATCCTGCTAGACATATGACCAGCACTTGACATTTATTATTACTTTGTCCTTTCTTTTTGATGTTTATAACCACATTCTCACCCCTTCATTTACCTGCCCCTTAATTTTTGGTCTTCTACAAAGCTCTCTTCTAGGCCATGTTCTGTTCTTGCTCCTCTTATTCTTCCTGCCCAATTTCATCCACTGTCATGATTTCAATTATCATTGGAAGCTGACAGAAGTCCAAACCTGTAACAACAGCTTTAACCTTTCTTCTTATATCTAACTGCCTAATGGACATTTGGATGACCACAGATCCCCAAAGTGAACTCAACGTTTTCCTTCCCAAACCCACTCTTTTTACCAGTCTCTTATTTTCCATACGGCAATCTGCATGATCACTCTAAAATGGAAAAGAATTTTGACATCTTACTGCTTAAAATATGATAAGATTAAAGTCAAACTCCTTAGCATGGCTTAAAATTCCTTGCTTACTTAGCTTCTATTTTAAAGGTAGTGCTGCAGCTGTTACAGGAATACCAGCAACACTGTATTTCTCCCAGCTCCTCAGAAGTATAATGTTCTCTCTCACCTCCGGCCTCCTTTCCCTATGTCTCCCCTGATCTCTCATTTCAGACCTGTGCTTAAATGGTAGTTTCTCCCAGAAGCTCCTCAAACCCTTCAAGTTTGCAATTAAGAGTTTCCTCTCTGCTCACAAAACATTAACACAGTATATTTCCCCAATTACATGACTTATCTCAATGCATTGCTCTAGTTTGTCCTCCACTACACTAAGATCCAGGGGGGCAATAATTGTGTACCATCTTCAACACTGTATCACAACACAGAGCACAGTACTAGGTAAAAAGTAGACGCTCAGAAAGTACTTACTAAAAGAGTCATAAAATGATTCAAACAGAAGTAACTACTAGAATAACATCAAAAGAGAAAATGAGGTGAAATTAAAGGGAATATTTTAGAATTTTTGACTCACTCCCTTATTACTGCAGAAGACCCCCCACACACACACACAAATACAAATTCTAATATGGAAAGGTTTGGAAAATAGTAAGAAAATATTAGAATTTTCCCTTACATTAATTCCTACATTAGAGAACTAGAAAAGATCCTGGATATCTTTATTTCATTGTACTCACTTCACCAAAGAAGAACTGAATGTACCCAATGTCACACAGATAATTAAGTTCTACAACTCTCAGCATACGTTGTTGTTAGGTGCTGTTGAGTCACCCTGGACGCATAGTGACCCTATGCACAGCAGAATGAAACACCACCCAATCCCATGCCAGTTCCGTGATCCCTGCTATACGTGAGGCCATCACCACAGCCACTGTGTCAGTCCATCTCAATGAGGCCTTTCCCCTCTCTTTCATCGACCCTCCATCTTACCAAGCATGACATCCTTCTCCAGGCAATGATCTCTTCTGATAACATGAACAAAGTAGGTAAGACAAAGTCTGGCCATTTTGCTCCCAAGGAGCATTCCAGCTGCACTTCCTCCAGGACATACTAGTTAGTCCTTTTAGCAGTCCATGGTACTTTCAGCATTCTTCACCAG